ATAATCTACTAACAATATAAAAAATAGTATGAATGTAAAAACAGATTAAAAATATAAAAACGTTAAAATAAAATAAAAGACAAAAATCAGAAAGCCGAAAAAATAAAGTGAAAATAACAAATAAAAAAATTTAAAAACCCTTTTAAATAGACGTAGGATATTCAAACAATTTCAAAAATTCAAAAATATTGACTTTAATATTCTGAAAATTTTAAATAATACTTGTATATATTTCTTCAAATTTTAACAGTTTTTTAGAGTTTTACAATAATAAAAACTTGCTATTATATGTCAAAAACTTATTATATAGTGAAATTCATTAATTTTTTAAAATATGCATACTTATACGAAGTATATACTCAGTACCTTTTTGAGTACATGAGTTTAAGTGATGGATTGGAAATAATAGAAGGATTTATTTGACCTTTTTTCCAAATCCAAATAACCAGAAAGATAAAAGAGGCGTCCAAATAATTGATGGAGTAGAGGAAATAATCATTACAATAAACTCCATATGCCAAAATAAGTATTTGGATGTCCATTTTACATGTCTTGCTTTTCTATTTGGATGTCTCAAAATAACTATCAGATTTCTTTTTTGAAAAGAAATACGTCATATACCACATTTCGTTTTATTATACATACTCAAATTTCAAGCATAACTTATACTTTTTAATCAGTATATTAAGGGAGTGTTTGCGATTGCTTCTACTTTTAAAAAGTGATGTTTTAAAGTGATTTTGGAGAAAGTACTTAATAGTAAAAGTTGGTAGTGTTTGAGAAAAAAGTGATTCTGAAAAAGTAAAAGTTGGTAGTGTTTGGTAAAATAAGTGCTTTTTAAGTAATAGAAAAAGTGAAAAGCAGTTTAAAGCACCCTTCCACCTGCTTCCAGCTTTTAGCTTTAAAGTGATTAATTTAAACAGAAGCTGTCATTTGAAAACACTCTTTTCAGCTTTTTTTAATCCAAAAGCTCAAAAGCACTTTTTTTAAGGAAGTGCAAACACTCCTTAATAATTGTATCAAATTATAGATGGGTCTAATCGTGCTAAATCAACTTATAGGCACGACTAAATAGGCAGTTCTGAGATGTGACTCATACATCAATTTTGTCAAAAAGAACATATGACCTCCATATATGTCTCCTGCTCCGTCACATGGAACCCAACTTATTCGAGTCCTATATTTTTAATGTATAGATTAGTGCATGCCAAAAAGACGGATCGGCAAAATGATGGTTTTTATTGTAAAAATCAGAACTCTAAAGTCGGCGATGAAAGTTGTTACTCTTGTTCTCTAATGGTGTAATTAAGGTTTATAATACTACGAGCATCGTATAATTTTCTGATTTACTCTATTTCAATTTGATTTCATCTGTTTAAGTGTGTTTAGTTTGATAAATATATTGTATATATATATGTCATTGTTGTAGTATCATCTAAATTTAGATTGATCTTGGACTTGAACCATTTCAAGACTAAAAACATATTTACCAAGAAAAAGTTAATGGATAACCAATTAACCAAATACTATGCACTTTCTAAATATTTTGGTACATTACTCACAATTTTCTAAGAAAAGTATTATAAATATCAAGGCACCCTTAAAACAGTCCAAAGTTAGGGATGGGTTCAAGGTTATTGTTAAAAGAGTAATCCCATTCACAACCTCCAATTTAACTAACCACAACCGCAAAATTAAATATTAATAAATTAATTCAACTCAAATGTCCAAATTACCCTTATTAGAGCATTCGCAACGCTCCACTATTTAGTCTAAAATAAATATGCCACATCAGGAAGTGGACTATTGCTGCCTCCAACGTTTGTAGTCTAATTTTGCTTTTGATGAGTTGACAATAAAAACCGTCGGACGGTGTGAAGGAAACTTTCTAAGTGTAGACAGTATCATAAACTTATTGACCAGACACAATCAATAAAAAGAAGTTGGGTTTACGTAAAAATGTAGAGAAGTTAAATTCTTTTAATACGCAGAAATGAAAAACAAAACCTCAAACGGTTCTAACTTCCGTCTTTAGACTTTAAGCACTGGAGGCTTCTTTCATAATTCAGTGCCAGTGCCTTGTCATTGCACTTCGTAATTACTAAAACCATAAACGAAACATTATTCAAAACTTTTGCAGGATTTTTTTTCGTTCATGCAACCCGATTCGTCATCTCTAACAACGGACAAAGTTCCCTTGACCAACTGAAGTGTCGACATCAAAGTTTCAACTCGTCAGCATTGTCTAGACATGATCATTAGCACAAATTTGGAGTAAGAGGATATGAGATCAGCTTTCGTTCTTCTTCGCTTTAGCCAAAGAGACGGATTAGGTCAGAAACTTCTTGCACGAAAATCAACGAAATCGTCTCATTAGATGAGTGACAAGTAGAGGGTAACATGTCGTCAGAAAAGTGATAAGTTGACAAATGCATCTTGTTATATGATTGACAGGTTGACAACATGTCTCATCAGATAAATGACGAGTTTATATGGGCAATATTCAAGGATGACGGATATAGATGTTTTTGAGATTGCGAAAAGTTGATGCTTAACGGGTTGACATGTGCGCCCATACGCCTCAACTTCTCGAAAGGGGGCAATTGTTGGGCCTACAAAACATGCATTTCAGATATTGGGCCTTGGGAATATTAAAAATAACCCGAACAGGGGCGTAGACAGGGGGTGGCCATCCCTGGCCGTGGCCCAGCCCAAATTTTAAAAATGTCTAAATTTTTAAGGTAAAAAATTTCGAGTAAATTTTTTTACAAAAATATTCTTTGTACCGGCCCAATCCGGCCCAGTGTCCTGGCTCCGCCCCTGAACCCGAACAACAGTCCAAGAATGCCAGAGGCGGGTATATAAGAATTGGTCAGACCTGGAGATAAAGAAAAGTTTGAAATGGAACGAGATAGTGGCGAGAAAAGTGGAAAGAGCACCTATTTCTAGGGATGTCAAAAAAACCCGACCCGCAATGACCCGCCCTGGCCCGAGACATTCGGGGCGGGTCCGCCCCGCCCCGTCTTGCAAATGGGGCGGGTCCGCCCCGCCCCGCCTATACAATGGGGCGGGTCCGGGTATTAGAATTGACCCGTGCCGCCCCGACCCGCCCCGACCCGACCCGCTCAATATATAAGTATACATACTTTTTCTTAAATTATACTACAAATATACTTCAACATACATATGTGTGTATACAATAAATCATAAATTCTTTGATCTTATAATATATGAATATATATTAGAATGAGATGCACTGACGGATTATCAATGTCTTCTTTATATATAGAATTTTAATACATATATTCAATTATTAATATAACTAATTAGATTAACTATTCAAGTTTGAGTAATTTTTCCTTAATTTTTAAAAATTTTAGCGTATCATGAATTTGATTTAATATATTAATTTTTAATTATTATTTAGAGATAAACATTATGTAGATTCAATTGGTAACAACTTCTCACAAATAAAAATACATACTAGCTAATTAGGTTGCGGCGGGGCGGGGCGGGTCCGCCCCGCCCCGCATGGGGCGGGTCATGGGTCAACAAGTTTGGACCCGTGCAGGTCACGGGGCGGGGCGGACCCGCCCCGCCAAGCCACGGGGCGGGTCCGGGTCTTGCAATACCCGCCCCGCCCCGACCCATTGCCATGCCTACCTATTTCGTTGGTTAGTTGATGGCCATGATCTTGTATGTAATAGATATAAATAGGAAAGGCACTTTGTATACGGAGCAGATTGTTTTGATTCCCAATTAGCTGAGATCAATATACATTACTCTTATACGCATTTATTAATACATACCCCTAATTACTTTATCAATCTGTAGTTCTGTACTCAAAGCATACTATTCAATCTATCTATTATTATTAATCTATCTATCTATTATTATTATTATTACTCAATTTATTTTTCTTCGTCAATTCGACCATTACTGATTCTGTCTTGCTCGATTCCCTATCTGATTATTCATTTAGATTAGTTAATTTCTAGTCAAAACAGCCTCCCTTCGCCGTGTACAATGCCTACTTCACCATTGCTTATTTCAACAAACTTCTTATTAGCACTGAGATTAATTAATAATTTAATAGAGCAGTAATTAACACTCGTGTTATGAGACAAAAAACGACTACAATTGAGAGCGTAAGGGACTTGCTTGGTTGGTGCTTCAGTGCTTAATGGTATTTCTCTAGCAACAAATATTGTCTACTTGGCTAGACGGAATGGGCGTAAACGACTCCGGCTTCAATTTTTTCAACCGCATATTCGTTTCAACTTTCTGATGAGATGAAGAAATGGGAGGCTTCTTTTCCACGCAGGCAAAACATGAGTGCGGCTGCAGGGGCATAATAGGGATTATAAAAAAGACTGTAGCTTATCCGAAAATATGTATCTAGTAAAAAGAAGGTATGTAAATAGAATTTGCCTTTTCAAAATTCAAGGTTATTTTTATAAAAATCACGTCACATATATGAGAAATACTAACAACATGTCACGATTTAGACATTTTGTGTGTATCTTGTCCTCATTCATTTTTCATCCATTCATTTTTTTTATTTGTTATATTACGTAATAAATTAGTTTGATCCTGGTATCATTTTAACGCGTCAAATTCTATCTTAAAAGTCAATCTGGCATCTAAATGTAAATCCATATAATAACTTACTCCGTATTTCTTTATTTTCTTCAACCATTTTACACTAGGGGAGGTATATTTATCTATGCACTGGCGGATTCAAAAATTGGAATTGAGGACTTAAAGAGTCAAGAATAATCATACATTTGTACTGTACACTTAGAGCAATACTGCAATAACATTTCTACATCTAGACTGCACTCGTTCAGTCTTCTAGGTGTGGACTGTCCGATACCCACCTCGTTCAGTCTACATCTAGACTAAACATCAACCCATACCATGACCATTGAAACGGTCCGACTCGATTCAGTCATAGACGTAAATCCGTTTGGTATAATTCATTTTCAAACGGGACGATGCCATATCGTATCAATACCAACCAATGTTACATTTTTTAATGTTAGGGTAAATTAAAATTTAACCATACTCCAATTCAAAACTTCACATAATTTATTAATTTATCAATTTCATATTACATAATTAATAAATTTGAAATAAACTCTAGTAGCACAATACATACATCAGGAGTGGTAGCATTTAACTTAAAATATTAAGCACTACATGCAACTGCAAGCTCAATATTTAGATTATAAAATTGATATTTACGGAGTAGGCGACTCACTGTATTAAGTAATCTGTAAAGCAAAATTTATTATTAAACTGGAGTAATAATTAATAAAGCAAAAAAGTACTTCCTTCGGACTGTCCATGGCAAAAAGGTTGTTGTTGTCGTTCTCTCCTACAGCTGCCACACAGTAGGAGACTGTGTGGGGGTTTGACAGGCTCCTACCCACACGGTTCAAAAAGAAAATTGAGTTGGAGCTTAAACTTAATCAATTTGTAACTTCATTATCCCTGTTTTCCCATTGATGTGCACATTGCCCCTCATTTTTCCTTTGTCGATTGAGCCTTGAGTTCATTTTAGCCATTTTCATGTTTAATTGTTCACCATATATAGGATGTGCGAGGAATGCCTCTATTCATTTTCCAGATTTGCTCCGATTCACCTTGGTTTGGTTTGTCATGGACATCCCTGAAATTGACAGAGATGTACACTTACTCAACTTCCATTCAAATCAATTTGTTTTGATTTAAAATTTGCATGTTCTATATGCATGTTGTCAACTTTAATGCCTTGATGTCTGAGTTTTTTGCGACTTTGTTTAGAAAAATCTACCTTGCATGCACAGACACCTCTTCGAACACACTAGTCCAGAAGTTCACCACAAATATGAAACTGGCCCCTGGACTATCCGAGTTGAGGACTACACTTTCAGAAATGACTTTGCTACCTTCTTTATCGAAAATATTGTCCCGCTTGACACCTACATTCTGCTAAGACACATCGGGAATTTCACATTCAAGGCATTAATGTTTGACAAAGACGAGATCTCTCTCAACTTTTGGGCATCACCTAGTGGCTCCTGTAACACTTCGTCTAGCCAAGGTATGTTTGCCACACCTTCAACGTGTCTTTTAAACCACCCAAACTCTTTAATTTAGTCTCCCCATTTGATGTGCTTCAACAATAGCATGTCATGCATCATTGCACGTGTATGATTCCTTAAATAGTGGCGGACCCAGAGCTTTTGTTAAGGAGGGGCACTGCAAAATGGACAGAAATGGGTCAGGTTGGGTCACGCCGGTGTGAAAATGGTCTATTTTGTCTCGTGCAGACATTTTTTTTAAAGGAAATAGTTTATTCAATGTCGGTTCCAAGGAATGTACGCCTATGATTTATAGGTCTAGCTTCAACCTAGTAAAACAATTCTGAACAATAATATTTAATTTTTTTGAAAGAAAGACATGCCATGGATTACAACTAAATCATCCTTGCAATTAAAATTTAACTTCTACAATTAGGATCATGTCTAATCGTAAGCAATCATTGCATCATAATTTCATTATCGTTTAAATGTCTTATAACAATTTCCATATACTCTGTGAAGGGATTATTACCTCATTTAATAGTTATACAGAGTACTTTTATGGGAAATTTACTAGAATATGACTAAAACTCTATGAGTTTCCCAATCTATGAACTTACTAGTTTTTATACCTTTGTATGACCAAAAATCCAAAAACAAATAGAAAATTCGTTTATATTTAAATGTTGAATGACGAAAATACCCTTATTTAAAATATGTGCATTTTGAACTAATTTCGCCCAATTAAAATTACTGCATTTTATATTGCCGTTAATGCACAAAATTAATGCATGACTTCACTGCACATCCGGTAATAATCAATGCACTTCGATCAAAATTGATTCTCTTCTAATAGACTTTACAAAATTATTTATAGTTTTTTTAAGATTTAATAATATTATTACTTTACGTCTAATTAAGTATATTGCGGTTCATGGCGAAATTACTGCTCTGTATTACTGCATACCGGTCATTATCACTGCACAATAAACTTGCTTAATGCATTTATTCACTGCCATGCACAACATATATATTTCCATTCTCAACAATATCTGTTATGATGTTCACTGCCCACATTCACTGCACATATTCAATGCTTAGAAACTCTAATTTTAGAAACCCAAACTTTAAAAAAATAGAAAAAACAAAACAAAAATTGAGAATGGTGGGCCTAAGCCTTGTAGCGGATCCTGAGTCTGCACATAAAATCCAAACCTAATAGTAACTGGAGTATTCATCTATGGAAGTCTTCTGCGAGTCATCTTCACCCATGGAGGCGGACAGTCGTGCGGCTGGATGGAGGCGGTGAGTTGGAGTGCGGCCATGCAGTTAGATGGCGGCGGTGGCTGGTTGGTGACGAAGGGCGGCACCTGGAAGGCGGCGGCTGGTTGGGGACGAAGATCGGGGCCTGGGAGACGACGCACAGAGTTTGGGACGGCGGCGGCGCACATGGCTCTCCGACAACTAGACGGTGACGACGGCTGCTTATGGGCGAACGGCGGCACCTAGGAGGCATGGCTGGTTGCGGACGAAGGGCGGGGCTGGTTGCGGACGAAGGGTGGGGCTTGAGAGACGGCGCACCGAGCTTGGGATGACGGCGGCGTAGATGGATGATGGCTCTCCGTAGCGAGGCGGCGGCGGCTGTGCAGCAGGACAGTGGTGGTAGGCTGTCGTGGGAGGCAGATGTGCGGCTGAGGCTAGAGTTTAGGTTTAGAGAAAATGAGTAGAAGATTAGGGTTTTAAAGGCATATGCTAAAGGGTATATTAGTACATGAAATTAATTTAATTATTTACTAATTACGAAATTAATTAAAAATTAAAATTTTAAATATTATTTTGGGAATAAAACTAGTTAGGTTATAGATTGGGAAACTCATGTAGTTTTACTCATACCCATGATAATTTTCTCTACTTTTATCCTGATAGGTGGAGCACTATTTTTATCCTAGGTACTTATACTAAAGTTCAAGGTCGGAAGCGGGGCACCCCTAGCTAGGACCCCCCCCCCCCCGGTCCTCCACTAAAATTCCTTATTTCCATACAATGCAGAGCACTTCCTTGTGTTTGTCGAGTCCGCCTTTCCAGACTGCTCATATAGACAACTGTTTGTCCTCACTCTTTTCTTTATGTGCCAACAAAAACTGAAGAGGTGTGTGCTGTTTTAGGCATATTGCCATTTTAAGTTGTAATCTATTAATCCATCTTAAGTTTTATTATTCAATGCAGCATGCTTGTAAAAACGCTCTTGAGAGCATGCTTTGACAAAAGAGGTCGGGTGCAAATCTGTTATGCCACGGAAGAAGAGCATTTTTTAGGTGAAGAAATGGATGCCTTGCAGGAGATTCAACAGGCTTTTGACATCAACCAGCATTGCAGCCTAGCGTTTTTCGAATATGGTCACAGTAGGGTCATGGCCGGGATCACAAACCGGCCAACAAGTAACGACTGGGAGGTTGGTATCAAGATGGTCTCAATATGCAAGATTTGAACATTAAATTTTGAATTTTCTATCATTTTACGATAAATAAAGTTGAACAAAGAGATTCTACATTAATATTGATACACAAGATAAACATATCTTTTTTATTTTTTAAAAATTAAAAAGTGATATTTTATATTTCGTCTTATGAAGAAAAATGTAGAGTTGAGATCAGTTTTGTTCTTGACATAAAATTAGAAAGCATTTGAAGAACCGTTAATTCCATGTTGATTTGGTTCTAAAAGTTTTTTGGAAGAACCGATATAAGAATCAATAGTATTACATCGGTGTAATTATGGTTAGTCAGTTAATCATTAAGTAAAAAATTAACTTATTAATGTATTTCATATTTTTATCGTTAAACCGCTAACACATAAATATCTAAGAAAAAAGGAACATATGTACCCCTACACTATAAGGGTGGGAACATATGTACTCTTGTATTTTTTTGAACAAAAAACTGACAAAAGTGAAATTAGGGTGCAAATATCCTCCCAAACTATTTTTTCACTACGGTAAAGCAAACCGGACCAGCATCTAATCCATCTATAGCTAGAGCTTCTCCCTGCTGTTATTAATACGTAGTATTTCTTGATGTCCTTTTCTTCTTCCTCAATTTGTCAACAAGATCTGTAAACCATATCAATTTTGAGCTAGACTCCGAAGGACAACGCAAAATGTGCTTCGAGGACAAACAACTCCTAGATTCAAACCGAAGACTAAATAATCCTGGACGGCTTTTACAACTCCTGCTTTCTCTCTTTAGTGCATCTAGAACTCAAAAGTTAATGATAACCAGGCCCAACACTTCATTTTATTTTCAAGTAGCAGTTACCTAAGAGCATCTCCATTCATGCCATCCAAATAAACGAATTTTTTAGTGCACATAAGTGCCACATCATTATTACGCATTAAATTTGGAATAATCTCAGAACTTAAAATTATTCTTCAACATTGATATTCATATAATTAGTTTTTCTCTTACATGCATTAAATGCATTTTAACTATAATCTACAATAATCCGGGATTTGAATCTTGATACCGGATATTCTTTTTGAATAACCCCCTAAAAAATCTCTTTCTCTCAATGTTAATCTTCGAAATAATCTGACATGTCATCTAAATAATCTTTAAATAAACTAAACTAACCAATGGTGATGCCCTAAGAAAACATTTGAACTAAAAGTTAGTAAATCTAAAAATATAGCCAAGAAAGAAACCTATTCCAGAAATCTACATTTGGGAAATAAGGATGACACAATAGTATTGATAGGGTATTAATTCTAGATAGAAGTGAGAGCTAGAGAGAGAAAGTGAGTAATTATATTTCTCAACCCCCTATATAGGCATGGACCCGGTTCGGGCCGCCCGGCCCGCCACTGTGCGGGCCCGGAACCGGCCCGATTTTCGGGTCCGGGTCCGGGTCGGGCCTAGGCCGGTGGGGGGCGGGTCCGGGCTCGGGCCTTGTATTTGGCGAACCGGCCCGGCCGGGTCGGTCCCGGGCCCGGGCCAAATTGATTTTTTTTTTTCATTTTTTGGGGTTAGCCGGGTTGGGCTTGATGGTTAGGAGGGGTTTGGGGGGTGGGGGGGTGAGTGGGGGGTTAGGAAAGCAAAAAAAAAAAAAAATGACCGAACCGGAGGCCGGCCCGGACCCGGACCGGACCCGGTGGCTACCCGGGCCGGTCCCGGGCCTTCCTTCCCAAAAAAAAGCCCGGCTCGGGTCCATGACTACACCTATAATTAGTCCCTTGGGATCTATTTATAGGTAAAAATGTGGATTTGGGCTCCTAGCCTTGGGCTTAGGAGGCCCATTACAATAATCATGTCTTCTTTGGGCGAATAGGGCCACTAATGGGCTGAGTACAACACTTGGTAAATAAACTATGAAAAAACATTCCGCCTGGACAAAGTCCGGACGATGTGGTCCATGGACGATGCGGTCAATGGACGATGCGGTCCATGGGTTGTGGTCCCGGGGACTTGGGTGATATCCTCTCCTTTGGACGTCGCGGGCTTCTGGCTGATGCGGGTGTCCTGCTGGTGCCTTTTGGGCCGTTGAGTAGGTGGGCCATGGGGTCCAGGCCCATATACTCTATCAAGTATGATTTAGGTCCATAAACTTGAATAGCATGACCAAATCCAATGCAAAGCCATGGACAGAGATATTTGCTCAAAGAAAATTGGTTTAGACCCGTAAATCTAGGTATTTGATTTAAACATACAAAAATCAGAACCCTTTATGAACTTATCGGCTACATACATAACTCTGATTTGTTGCTCCAATAGAGTAATTTAGGTTACACAAGTTTCATCTTCCTCTCCTGCAATGGGTGTGCTTTTGCGCTAAGAAGACGGAGAAGGCGTTAACAAATTTAACGTTGGGGGAACCTGACTGGGAAGTTTTAAAACGTTAATGACTGTAGATTTGTACATTACTTTTAGTTTAGGGAAAAGGGGCAAAAATAAGCCATCGAACTAACCAAAAAAGTGCAAATCACCCCATATATAGGAGGTTCTGTCTGGCCGTCGCCATTTGGGCGATTCCCGGAGGAAGTTTTTGAAAAAAAAAATTAGCATCTTCTTCATTAAGTGTAGTTTACGCATACCAAATTTCAGCTTAAAATAAAACCGGGAAGGTAGTCAAATGATTTTCTGAAATACACTTCACTGTTTAACCGCGCGGTTATCTTTAAAAATTCATTTGACTGCCTTCCCGATTGAATTTTTATCGCAAATTTGGTATGGGTAAACTAGACTTAATGAAAAAGATGCTCAAAAAATTACACCGGGAACCTCCCCAAATGACGACGGCCAGTCAATGCTTCCTATATAAGGGGTGATTCGCACTTTTTTTGTTAGTTCGAGGGCTTATTTGTTCCTTTTCCCTTTAGTTTAATAAGCTTTTTGTTCTAAAAAATAAAAGAGATGTATATATGTTCTCACACCTATAGTGTAGGGGTATTTATGTTTTTTCTCAATATTTAACCGTAAATAAATATACAAAATTTAATAAGCTAAAGATGAAAAGAAAACAATTTATGAAGAACTCGAATGCACCTATACTTATACCACATGTAGCAATGAATGTAGCGCTTGTGTAATGATCAATGTTCTTACTCATTGAATTGTGTAATACAACAATTGATCATAAATAGATCGAAATCGTTGAGCATTCTTAAAACTTTGAGTTTTTTTAAATGGATTAATTTCTTATGCCTTCAATTATTCTTGTAGAACTCTGCATTGCTGGATGAACTTCATTTGTTTCATTTATTTTATTGTTTTTTTATCATATTACACATAGGAAATTACTTACGATAGCCCAATAGGACTAAAACATGACATTTTCACCATAGTAGTCATATGTTTGATTTTTCTTAGTAAGATTAAATATTACATTTCTACCCCTAATTTAATATAATTAATTGCCCCTATTTCCCTTGCATAACCAAAGTCATTTTGTTGGTGGCTTATCAATCTGATGACGGCGACGATGAACTCCGGTGACGGAGGCGGACAGGCAAATCGATACTAGCGAATTAGCGATCTAGGTGAAAATTCTGATGATCGGAGTGACACCCCGAATTTAAACGTCTGTGGACTTTTTAAAAGTCAATAAACTTATCAATGAATTTGTAAGTCAATAGAACTCAATCATAAAAAAAGTCTGAATTTAAAATTTCATAGACTTTTAAAAAGCCCATGGATTAATAAAAGTCCATCACAATCCATATTCAATACACCCCCTTAGAAATAAAAAAAAATTAAGAATATCATACATTTGAATTTGAAGATAGTCAAGGACAAGTTAATAATCCTATTGTACTATGGTAGATTGTAGGGTAAGCAAAAATACCGAACCGGCATGATACCGAACCAGAAAAGAGAGTCGAATTGTACCTGTTCCAAACCATGTCATGATCGGTTCTCATTTTATGAGTACCAGTACCGGACCGAACCAGATTGAAGTATACGTTTAACATACATGTGTACCATGAGACCGTAATACATAGTCAGACTGTTTATGGAATCTGGTAGAAATGTGGATTTACCACTTTTTAACGAGTCAGATGCTTGTGGTTGGACTATAAGAGTCGAAAAATTCTTTAAGCTCAACGTAGCTATGGAAGAGAAAGCCTTAAATTGGTTTCAATAGTGGGAAGAACAGGCAGTAATGCGTAATTGGGAACAATTTAAGGCAGCTCTAATCCGAAGATTCCAACCTGATTTGGTACAAAATTCCCTTTGGCCCTCGGTTGAGTGTGAAACAAACTAGCAGTGCCATGGAGTATAGAGAAAGATTTGATCTAGTTGTAGCCCCTTACCGACATACAGATATGGGAATACCGGGGATATTTTTGAATGGTCTGAAAGAAGAAGCAAGGGCAGAGTTGAAACTATATCCAGCCAGGACTTTAGCTAATTTGAAGGATAGGGCTTTATTGTTGGAAGAAAAATATCTGGCTCTCAAAACAAGAAAAAATAGAGAGGAGGAAAGAAGAGGATGGAAAGAAAAAGTGGGCAGCACATCAACATTTCAAAGATGGATTGATGGTACAAAATGGAGATCTAATTTGAGTCATCAAACTTAACCAGATAGACTGCCATTAGGAAAAAAAGGATAGTGAATCAGCAAGTAAACCTGTAGGGCTAAGGGCAGGTCAGAGGCTATCACCTGAAGAGCTACAAGAGTTAAACAGAAAGGGGCTATGCTTTAGAGTGGAGAGAACTGGAGCAAGGATCACACCTGCAGAATGAAACATTTTCAGTTTGTGGTAATAGAGGAATCAGATAATGAGGAAGAAAAAGAAATACCTCAGTTGGAATCTTGTTAAAATCCCAACAATGCAATTATCTATCATGAGTAAGGCAAGCATTACAACTCCCAGAACTTTTAAAGTGACAGGAAGGATACAGGGCCACTGGGGTAGCAAGAAAGTGGTGGTGTTAATTGATTGTGGGCCATAAAGTGGAGATTGGAAATGGGGATCATGTGAGTAAAAACGGTAAATGTGAAGCTGTTACTCTCAGGGTGCAACAAACAAACATAACTCAGGATTTTTATACATTAGACTTGGATGGAACTGA